TCCTCATTCTTTAGTAAAAAAGTTTTTTTTCGGGGGTCACGTGAAAGTAACATTTTGGTGGCGATACTGGGGAAGATTTAAAAGAACAACGAGTACTTTATTTAATTAAGGTAATATCGTTAACTAAATTTTTGTTAGTTGAACGCAATATTTAACAAATTTTTATTAAAAAGTGTTTTTTTGTTTAACAATAAATAATAGAAACAGTTAAATTTTTGTTTAGTTGAGCGCAGTATTTAAAACTTGAAGTTTTGTTTTTACGATAAAATTGCTTAGTAAACATCATTAAATCGCACTTTAATTTTTAATCATCGGTAAATCGAATATTTCATATATACCGCACGCATAATTTACAAATTCTTATTGCATAAATTCCGTGTCCCTGCCTCTAAGCGGAAATAGTAAAAGCATGAATACTGTGCCAGGTTTTGTCGATCATTGTGGCGCAGATACATGATCTGCAAATCAGATTTCAAGATTATGATGTAATGTAAAATGATCGGCAAATTCCAAACCAAAACGTTCGTTATTTCTCAAAAATCCACATAAAAACCACCTTTAGTGCTCTAACAATAAGTTTTCCTTGAGCGATTTACTATATAATTACCTAGCCTTTAACCTTATTCTAAACAATGAACTTTAAAATTTATCGTTAATTATAATACTGCGCCACAAACCTGGCACAGAATTCATACTTGCCTTAACTCAAGTTATTCCTTCTAATCTGAGATCAAAAAAAAATAGGATGGAAGGTGTGATGCTTATTTTCGAAATTTTATTGTAATTATTTAAATTTCATGAAAATGTATGTAAATAATATAATTAACCGATTTTACAGGGTTAAAGCCCTTTACGCTTTCATTGGATAGATATATAAAGATAAGCATTTAATAATTATGATTTTTATTTACATATTAAAAGTTTACAAATAAGAGCGTTTTCCTAATTATTTATGATATGCTCCAGTTTCACCCGTTTTGGGAATGGCTCCTCTACGTCAGCACTTTGTTCTTGATTGGCGAAGTTTAAATTGTCCTAGAGAAACGCTACAGCTTTACCCTTAGAAAGGGTAAACGTTACGAGTCTTCGGTTTTCGAAGCAGAAAAACTGCCAGTCGTCTCTTAAATCTGTCAATACAGTAAGAACTGCATGCACAGATTTAAGATCGCCGGCAGTTAATTCTGCCATTGCTTGGTACAAGCAACTGTCATTAACAGATTTCTTTACTTCGAACAGAATCCAAATATGATTTTGTGGGATTCTTGATGTAAGAGAAAATCTGTCAACGACAGCTGCATCCGAAGTGCCAATTAGCCTTATTGGCAAAACCCCATCGTTCATGTTTAAAAAATTATTCTTCTTTGACGCATCAAATATCTCAAGGTTCTGGTATTTGGAAATTTGGAGGATTTTTCTGAGGT